TCCATCTTCCAAGCAGATTTTCTGGATTTAAGCAACACACTGTGGGGATTGTGCAGTTACCCTGGAAACTTCTTGTCACAAATACTTCAGTTAGCGTTCAGGGTCACCAGAGAGCGAGATTCACGGCCCATTGACAGCTGAGCAGTGTTCTTGAAATTCATGCTTGACATAGTGCTGATGCAACTTGATGATGCTGTGTGTGTGTGTGTGTGTGTGTGTGTGTGTGTGTGTGTGTGTGTGTGTGTGTGTGTGTGTGTGTGTGTGTGTGTGTGTGTGTGTGTGTGTGTGTGTGTGTGTGACTTCAGCCCGTGAGTGTGTGTCCATGTGTGCCGGGATTACAAATCTGCTTCTCCCCAGACGGATGGCGTCGGTGCACAGCGTGGTTGTGACGCTGTGAGTGTTGATGGACAGCCGGTGCATGTGAGTGAGACCTTTCGTGATTTTTTTGCATTTTGATTAATCAGAATTCCCTCAGAAATTGTCAAAAAGCCAAAAACAACACCGACATCCAGGAGGAGAAGAACTGATTACCCTGCTGTTCATACATCTTATTTATTTTGTATCAAGCAGCAGATCTTGCACTTTTACGCTGGGACAGGATTTTTTAAATGTATGTCAGCTCATATTTTCTAAGCTTTCTGATATGCTAATGTACGCTCATATGCTATAGTTTCTTAATATCCAGGAGTGGAGAGCGTAAGTCTGTTACTCATTTATGATGAATGGATATATGTGTTCATCTGGGCTCACACTGTGTCTCATTCTCTCTTTAAAATACTGTGAATGACATGCAAACGACACAAAATCACTTCATTAGCGCTCTTTTTACTGCCTAGGGACGGCGCTTACGTTATTTCCCAGTCTGTTCAGCATCAAATCAAAGCATTTTCTTTGCAATCATCCACACTAATAGCTATTTCCAAAATACTGTGGAGCTCTGCTGTAGCTTGGAGCTACACTGAGCTGTAAATCACTACTCCAACTGACACCCGCAGAGACAGAGAGGAACCCATGTTAAAACCAGATTTAAGCCCTTTAATGCGCTAATGAAAAGTGCTGTATTTATGTGTTGCTGGTAAGCGGCAGTGTTGTGACATGAGGTCCATCTGTGACTCAGTCCAGAGCCCTAATGAGAGCAGCGCTGAGCCCGAGGCAGACAGAGGGAGGAAGAGGAGGAAGAGGAGGGGATCGATGCAAACCCCGCCACCTCTCCGGACTGCCATCATCCTCTTTCCCTCCTTCTCCTCTCTGCCCACACTCCTCCCTTCTTACACCAGGGCAGAGGGTCTAACTCAATACCCAGCGCTGCAAAGATCAATAAAAGACAAAAAGAGATTGAGAAGGGAAGAAATCAGGCCAAGTGGAGTCCTGTCCACCTCAGCTTTAACACACACACACACAAAAGGGCGGAAAATCCAAAGTGAACACACCTTCATGTCTGCTTTTCTGGATCTAAATCACACCCAATGACCTGGGGAGTTCATACTCTATATATCTGAAGGACCAACAGCAGCCCAGGGAACAGCACCGCCACATATAGACCCTTATGAAGACACAACATGTATGTTACGATCATATTATATCCCCATCACAGTTGAATCTGTGAAAATTTCCCCGTAGAGACCGACTGCCGTTAGAGTATTTCCAGCACCGCGCCCTCGCTGCTCAGACTCAGAAAAAAGCTTAATATTCGTCGGGGCACTAAAACATCTCCCAAGGCTTCGGACACACATGCATGCATAATAAGCCTCGACACACACTTCTGCATATTCATACACAAGCAGCTGCCTCTTCTACTACCTCAGATTGTTTCCACTTGTTCAATAAATCATAAATGCGCGCCCCTTTGATATCCAGTTTGTAAAGCAGGGGGCCAATGGAAAACAAAAACATCAGGAAAACAGAGTTGTGCGGCACATCAATCAGCTGTTCCCTCTTCTGTGTGTTTCTTTCAGCCGTGTACATATTATCTTT